GCAGCTGCTATTCGGGCTCGTTTATGGTTCCATATAAATTTTTGAAGTGTTTGTTCTATGTCTGTAGATTATGCCATTGGTACTTTAATAGGTATTGCATTGAATCTGTATATTGCTTTGGGTAGTATGGACATTTTGATGATGTTAATTCTTTCAATCCATGAACAAGGTATATGTTTCCATTTGTTTGTGTCTTCCTTGATTTCTTTCTTCAGGGCTGTGTAGTTTTCTGCATACAGGTTTTTTACCTCCTTAGTTAGGTTTATTCCCAGATATTTTATTTTTCTTTTTGCTTTATCAAATGGGATTTTTCTCTTTATTTCTGCTTCTGCTGATTCACTGTTGGTATACAAAAATGCCTTTGATTTCTGGATATTGACTTTGTAACCAGCTGTTTTGCCAAACTCATTAATTAGTTTGAGCAGTTTTGGGGTAGAGTTTATAGGATTTTCCATGTACACTATCATGTCATCTGCAAACAGTGACAGTTTTGCTTCCTCCTTTCCTATTTGGATGTCTTTTATTTCCTTTTCTTGCCTGATCGCTGTGGCTAAAACTTCCAATACTATATTGAATAGAAGTGGTGAAAGTGGACAACCTTGTCTTGTTCCTGATCTTAGTGGAAAAGCTTTTAGTTTTTTTCCCATTGAGTATGATATTGGCTGTAGGTCTCTCATATATGGCCTTTATTATTTTGAGAAATGCTCCCTGTATTCCCACTTTGCTGAGTGTTTTTATCATAAATGGGTGTTGTACCTTATCGAAAGCTTTTTCCGCATCTATTGATATGATCATGTGATTTTTGTCTTTGCTTTTGTTTATGTGCTGTATTACATTTACTGATTTGCGAATATTGAACCATCCTAGCATCCCTGGGATGAATCCTACTTGATCATGGTGTATGATCTTTTTGATATATTGTTGGATGCGATTTGCCAATATTTTGTTGAGGATTTTAGCATCTATGTTCATCAGCGATATTGGCCTGAAGTTTTCTTTCTTTGTTGTGTCTCTATCTGGTTTTGGAATTAAGATGATGCTGGCTTCATAAAAAGAATTTGGGAGTTTTCCATCCTTCTGGATTTTTTGCAATAGTCTGTGGAGAATAGGGGTTAGCTCTTCCTTAAATGCTTTATAGAATTCTCCTGTGAAACCATCTGGTCCGGGGCTTTTGTGTGATTACTGCTTCTTTTTCCGGGAGTTTTTTTATTACTGCTTCAATTTCTTTTGCTGTTATTGGTGTATTTAGATTTTCTGCTTCTTTTTCACTGAGTTTTGGAAGATTGTATTTTTCTAGAAATGTGTCCATTTCCCCTAGGTTTTCAAATTTCTTGGCATACAGTTCTTCATAGTAATTTCTTACAATCCCTTCTATTTCTGTGGTATCAGTTGTAATCTCTCCTTTTTCATTTCTGATTGTGTTTATTTGTGTCCTCTCTCTTCTTTTCTTGATGAGCCTACTTAAAGGCTTGTCTATTTTGTTTATCTTCTCAAAGAACCAACTCCTGGATTCATTGATCCTTAAAATTGTGCTTTTAGTTTCTATGTCATTTAATTCTGCTCTAATCTTGGTTATTTCCTTCCTTCTGCTTGCTCTGGGCTGTCTTTGTTGTTGTTCCTCGAGTTCTTGCAGGCGTAGGGTTAGGTTGTTTGTTTGAAATGTTTCTATTTTCTTTAGGTAGGCCTGTATTGCTATAAACTTCCCTCTCAGGACTGCCTTCGCTGTGTCCCATAAGTTTTGGGTTGTTGTGAGTTTATTTTCATTTGTTTCCAAAAACTTTTTGATTTCTTCCCTAACTTCATTCTTGACCCATTCGTTGTTTAATAGCATACCATTCAGTCTCCATGTTTTTGGGTGCTTTGGGTTTTTTTCTTTGGGGTCGGTTTCTAATTTCAGTCCCTTGTGGTCAGAGAAGATGCTTGGTATGATTTCAATTTTCTTGAATTTTTTGAGGCTCGTTTTGTGTCCTATCATGTGGTCTATCTTTGAAAATGTTCCATGTGCATTTGAAAAGAATGTGTATTTAGCTTCTTTGGGATGAAGGGCTCTCTATATATCAGTTAAGTCCATTTCATCTAGGGTGTTGTTTAATGTCACAATATCTTTGTTGATAATTTGTTTGGAAGATCTGTCCATTTTTGATAGTGGGGAGTTCAAATCCCCTACTATGATTGTGTTGCTGTCAATATCTTTCTTGAAGTCCTCTAAGATTTTCTTGATATATTTGGGTGCCCCTATGTTTGGTGCATATATGTTTACAATGTTAATGTCTTCTTGGTGGATTCTTCCCTTGAGTATAATGAAATGACCTTCTGGGTCTCTCTTTATAGCCTTTTTTTTTAAGCTATTTTGTCTGATATGAGAATTGCTACCCCAGCTTTTTTTTCTTGTCCATTTGCTTGGAAAACTTGTTTCCAGCCTTTCACTTTTAGTCTGTGATGGTCTTTTGTCCTGAGGTGAGTCTCTTGTAGGCAGCATATGTGTGGGTCATGCTTTCTTATCCATGACGCTATTCTGTGTCTTTTGATTGGAGCATTTAATCCATTTACATTTAAGGTTATTATTGATAGGTACTTATTCATTGCCATTTTTATACCTGTGTTCCTCTCTGTCTCCCTCTATCCTTCCTTCCCTTAAAGCAGTCCTTTTAGTATTTCTTGTAGAGCTGGTTTGGTGGAGGCATATTCTTTTAGACTTCTTTTGTCTTGGAAGCTCTTTATTTGGCCATCTATCTTGATTGAGAGCCTTGCTGGGTAAAGTAGCCTTGGTTGTAGGCCTCTGGTTCTCATTACTTGAAATATTTCTTGCCATTCTCTTCTTGCTTGAAGTGTTTCCATTGAGAAGTCGGTAGTTAACCTTATTGGGGCTCCCTTGTATGTTATTTCTTTTTTCTCCCTTGCTGCCTTTAAGATTCTCTCTTTGTCTTGGAATTTTGCCATTTTGATGATGATGTGTCTTGAAGTGGGCCTCCTTGGGTTCCTCTTGGTTGGGACTCTCTGTGATTCCTGGATTTGTGAGACTTTTTCTCCTATCAAATTAGGAAAATTTTCTCTCATTACTCGTTCAAATACGTTTTCTATCCCTTGTTCTTCTTCTTCTCCTTCTGGTATTCCCATTATTCGGATATTATTACGTTTCATATTGTCTTGCATTTCTCTTAATCCCTCTTCATTCTTTCTGAGCCTCTTTTCATTTTCTTGCTCTTTCTGTGAGATGCTTTCTACCTTGTCCTCCAACTCACTAATCCTATCCTCCGCTTCATCTATCCTACTTTGGAAACTTTCTACTGTGTACTTCAATTCGGAAATTGTATTCTTCATTTCCTCTTGTCTCTTGCTGATAGTTTCCATTTCCTTTTTGATGTTGCTGTAGTTTGCAGAGAGATGATTATAGTTCCCCTGTAGTTTCTGGTAGTTCACTGTGAGCTCTTTGAACTTCGTAATAACCAGTGCTTTGAATTCACTGTCTGATAGTTGATCAGCGTCTATTTCATCTAACATTCTTTCTGAAGTTTCTGCTTTTTCTTTCATTTGGGGATTGTTTCTTTGTCTTCCCATTGTTTGAGACTCTTCTTGTTAGTCTCTGCTTCCAAAATTGATCTGTTCTGAAACACTGGTTTTATGGTGTAAACTTCTGTGGTATGATCCTTGTGAAGTTCAGTGGTGCAGACTCCTTGAAGTTTCTTGATGTTCTTAGTCTCCACCTACACTCACGCTGGTCCTCGCGCTGGTCCCTGCGTTGGTCCCCTACCACTGCTGAATGTCCCGGCTCTAGTAGCCGCCTCCTCAAGCACCCAGGCCCGTTACTACGGCAGTGGCACAGAGGCTGGGAATGTCCCGGCTCCCGTATCTGGCTCTCTCTGCCGCCCAGGGCCGTCACAGGGGCTTGGAGTGTCCCGGTTTCCGTACCTGACTCCCCGGTGTCTAGTCCTGTCTCTATGGCAGTGGCACAGAGGCTCAGAAAGTCCCAACTCCCATACCTGATTCCCCAGTGTCCAGTCCCGTCGCTATGGCAGCAGAACAGGGGCTGAGACAGTCCCAGTTCCCGTAAAGGGATCCTCTGCCACCCAGGGCTGTTTCAGGGGTTTGGAGTGTCCCGGCTTCCGTACCTGACTCCCCGGCGTCCAGTCCCGTCGCTATGGCAGCGGCACAGGATTTGAGAGCTTCCGGGCTCCTGTAGCTGGCTCCTCTGCTGCGTCACAGGGGTTTGGAGAGTCCCGGCTTCCGTACCCGATTCCCCGGTGTCCAGTCCTGTGGCTATGGCAGCGGCACAGGATCTGAGAACTTCCTGGCTCCCGTAGCTGGCTCCTCAGGGTCCAGGCTTGTCTCTATGGCAGTGTCACAGGGGCCTTTGGTGTCCCAGCTCCTGCAACTGACCCTTCCGTTGCCCAGGTTGCCCAGGCCGGTAGCTATGGCATCGGCACAAGGGTGTCCCCGCTCCGGTTCCTGACTCCTCTGTCTCCCAGGACCGTCACAGGGGCTTGGAGTGTCCGGCTTCCGTACCTGACTCCCCGGCTCCCAGGCCTGTTGCTCTGGCGGCAGCACAGGGGCCGCGTGAGACCCAGCTCCAGTAGCTGACTCTGCCGCCGTCTGGTGTTTCAGCGTCGGTCACAATCTCTGGTCTTTTAATTTCATAAATGCTGGGTAACCGATGGTTTATTGTGCTGTTTCTCTATATATCTGCCAGGATTTTCACCCATGAGTACAGGAGCTAGTATCAGCTCCATCTTACTCCGTCGCCATCTTCCCAGCATCCTCCTAAGCATGTCATTCTCATCAGCAATTGCATCTAATTTCAAAGATGAGATGACAGGTAGTGTTGCAGGAAAATGAAGCGACCAGACACCAAGGGTTTCTGGAGTACGAGGTTTATTTAACGTGCATGGGCCCAGAGGAGTCAGTGTCCAAATTCTGAGCCCCAAACAAAGGATTCTTGGGGGTTTTATAGTTTACAGGGTCTTCTTGTCTACATAGCAAAGTGGGACACAGAAGCGGTTAGTTCTAGCTATGGGGCAGAAGCAGAGGACAAAGGCTAAATTTGAAGGTCAGTTTTTAACAGCAGGGGTGTTAATCTCAGTCCTAGCTAATGCACTGTTGTCTACTTATCCTAGACAGCCCCATCATTCTCCCTAGGGCACCTGGGGCCTGGGCAAATAAAGATTAAACAGAGGTTTTTCAAACTTTCCCATATCATTCCCCCCTTTTATGCTAAACGGCACTAGTTGCTTGTTTAAGCATAATATATTTTTGTAGGAATAAACAAGTCCCCCCTTTTCCTGGATTTAGAGCATTAATGAGGTTTCTTTCCTCATTATTTTTCTCCTCCTGTGATCTACTATCAGGGAGGGGTTCTGAGGCCTTTTTCTTCTTTTGGACTATTATATGCTTCTTTGTAGAACTACTTACATAGTTCTAACAAAGCAATCAAAGATTTAGAACAAAAAGAATACAGATGGTGTAAAGACCAGGTATTTCTCTCGCTATTATCTATAGTTCTAGTTCTATTATTGCAAAAGAGCAGTCAGAAACTAAGTTTTTTTTAACCTAAAATATTTTCATGTCTTTGCTCTCTACTTGCACTGTCCTAACTCTGAGTACTGTAAATTAGGAAAGAGTACCCATCCATGCTTCAGGTTGCTGGCACCATCAGCTGTATCAGGCAGGATCTCTAGCCAATCCAAAGCTATGCAGCATTCCCTCACGGTCCACTGGCAAGAGTTCTTTTGCACCAAGTTCCAGTCAAAGTCTTTCCCGCTTTCTGCTTTCTAGGCCACGCGGCCAAAGGGGGAATCTCAAAGCTGTGTGGGCCTCTTCTACCAAAGCTGCAGGGGTCCTCACTCTGCCCTAAACTGAGTGGCTCCCTCTTTTACCTGGGTACTTATCTCCTCATGTCTTGGAGCTGATTTTCTCTAAACTTTTATACAGGCCTCTCCCTTCAGGGGCTCTGCTCCTAGTTATATCCCGGGTAAGTGACTTTATTCTCTTAGTTTTAAGCCTGGCCATATTATTCAACACATTTATAAAACTAGCCAAAGGCCACAGATATGTCAAATTACTCCAGAGGTCAGCCGCAAAACTGTTGCTATTGAAAACAGCTCTCAATGGCCTCGCTCTACTCGTCCTTTCCCCCTAGGGGGTGAGGACATCTTAATATTTCTTGGACACCCTGAACTTCGGAATTTATCCCAAATCCTTTCTGGGCCCCCCACTTTGGATGCACCCTGTATTAATATTCCTCTTTTCAGATTTATACTCAAAGGAAAATGGACGAAGGTCTCATCTTGTTTTAACTGCTTCCGGCTGGAAATGGACGCTGTCCTACCTACCCCTGGGTCAGGGGTGCCCTGAAAGGGCGGGGGGGGGGTGCAGCACAGAGGGAGTCCCTTCCTGTAAGGGGAAAGACCTTACAGGGTCCTGGTCAGTTGGCTGTCACCAGGAAGTTGCAAGCTTGGCGTCCAAAGGCTGGCATTACTGGACTGTTGGCATACTGGTCAGGTTGTATTCTGGAGGTGACAGATTAAGCAAGAAATTGGAAGTTCAATTAAATTATAATTATTAATTGACAAAGGCAGGGACTTCAGTAAAGAATGGCTTATCTAGTGGAAGGTGCACAAGGGACGTTATATCTATCCAAGACTCTTGTGGCTTACTATACTTCACTCAGGCTGAGGGGAATACATTAAGATTTATTTCCTTTCAGATTTCTGAGCCCTTTCTGTCCAAGCTATCGAGACAGAAAAGGGAAAATCAGTTCTAAAGTAAAGCCCACAAACTGCCCCAACCTTTTATTAACTTAAGTACTTAGTTCAACCAAACCGTTGATTCTCAGGAGGGCGATGACAAAGATGGGCTCCTTAAGTGAGGCTTATATTGCTACTAATTACTCATAGGCATAGGCAGGTCATAGGCATATGCCCTATGAAAACAGAGGAACATAACACAACAGTCTCCAAACCAGTCTCTGCACCTCTGAGACTGTCTTGTGGGAAGACATTCTATTGCAAAGTCCTTTGCATCTGTAGTACATCTTCAGTAACATTACAAACCTGGTTTTAACTTTTAAATGAAAGCAAACTTTGAAGACAGTTAGCTGCGCCATTCTGATGGCCAATACTGAGCATTGTGATTTTCCTTGAACTACAATTTTTCTCCTCAAGATCACCCTCACTGTTATTACAGGGACTACTTTGGGTCCCGCTTTTGATTTTGACTGTTTGTTTGCATAAACACACCAAGAGCAGCCTGCATCACTTATGATCCTTAAGTCTGCTTTGCTGGAACTCACTCAGGGAACCCTTAGATTGACTTCTCAGTCCGCCCCTCAGGGCACAGAAGCAGAACCACACACCTGCCATCAGGCTTCGCCTGTACCAATTGTTTCACTCAAATCCTTGAGCCTCTATTGTGCCTTCAGGTTCTTTTTTTAACCATCTTTCAGGAAAGAAACCTCTGTTCCTTCCCTGGAAAGCCTGGCATGAACTGCACAACCAACCAAAGTACCAGGCTTTTCTTGTGGGCTTTTGCTAGCTTTAGAGGTCAATCCAAGTTCCTCTGAGCTTTCTGGTAATGACCAGAACCTATATATGCCTCCTTCAGGCGTGACGTTCCAGTCAAAGTCCTAGTTAACAAGTCACTATTAATGACTGGTCTTATCAGATTTATGCAAAGAAACCTTATATCATCACTCACTCTTTCAGAGTGCTAAATTCTGGAGGGTTCAGGTAGGGAGAAAAACACAAAGCTTGAAGGAAAATCCCTTTCCTTCTGATACCCACTAAGATTGCATCTCCATGCCTTATACCTTCTCTTACTAACCCTACATATTTTCTTTCCAAAACTTTCAAATCTCTATTTATTTTTATAATTTCTCACAGACTTTCTGCAATATTCACAAACTTTCTATAGCCTTTTTATTTATCTACATAATTTACTTTTACTCTCTGTTCTTTTTCTATACTGGAAAGGACTCTACTTAAACTCAGTACCTGGCAGCTAAAAGTCCCTAGATTTGCAGGGACATTTTTCACCTTTCTGAAGCTTAGACCTTGCAAACACTCTATAAATCAGATGGTCAGCCTTGGACCTCAGTTTATGACTTTCAAAACTAGAGCTATTCCTATCAGAACCAGTTACATAGAGAACCTGACTGCTGCAGTGTCCACACAGCAGCAGCATACAGCTCATAATCGGAAAAAAAGCCTTAGCCAGTTCTACGATGGTGTCGCCCATGAATGCTCTGTCCTCCAGGTGGTTCACTCACATGGCTCATCTACTTTACCTAAAATAGCAGTATCCTGACTCTGGTTCTGCCTACCTGCAAAGGTCCTAGGACTCTGGTTTAAGGAACCCCGGAAGCCCCCAAGGCCCCTTCTACCTGTGGGTATAGAGGCACCACAAAGCCACCCTCCACCCATTGGGGTGGTTTACTGAGGCTGCAATCACCAGTGGAGGTGGGGCAGAGGTCCCACCCACCTCTGAAGGTGGGGGCCCTGCAGCTCCGTTTTTGGGAGTCAAGGAAGACTGGGTTAGTCTCCCTCCCTGTGAACGACTCCAGATCTCTGGCCAGTACCCCCCACCCTCTGAGGGGAGTGGGAGAGTCTCTGAAGCCCTGTGGCAGTCTGGTCTGGGTCCAAGCCATCTAGGCTGAGGGCTGTAGGCGCCTGTAACCCTGGCTTTTGTCACCTGCCAGTGGGCTCCTTCTTTTTCCTTTCAGAGTAGACATACAGCAAAATCCGAAACACAGTTTCAAAACAACACATAGGTAGAGGCACTCTCTTGTACCAATGGGTTCACTGGTACACAGCACACCTAATTAATCCTTCCTGGGCAGCAAAGATTAAACAGTAGATAACATTTCAAAGAGGTCTGTGGGAGTGTCTGTCAGGAAGAGAGTTGCAGAAACCCTGGGAGACACACCCATCCTCCCCTTGGACCTTTATCATATCAATGAAAGCACTCCTAGCAGAGCAGATTTCACAGGTTTATCGGTAAGTCTTTGTGACGCCAGATTTTCCCTAACTCTTGCAAGGCAAGGGAGCTGCACTTCTCCCCAGCAGGCATTCAGGCCTAAGGTGATCGAAGTCAGAAAGTGCTTCTCCCAGAATACATAGGGACTCAGGGCTTTGTCAAAGCTGGCGGGGGGGGGGGCGGCGAGAGTCCATTGCTCTTTGTTGTAGCCCTCCCGAGTCCTTCCATGAAGGCCTTCCAGGTGATCAAGCCTGGCCCAGGCTGCCCCCCCTCCCCCACGGTGAGGGGGTCCCACCCACCACTGACTTCGGACCAAGCTCTGGGGGCAGGGAGAGGAACCTGAGGCAGCGCCTGCGACCAGGGACAAGCCCCGTCTCCTGCTGTCAGCATTCCAGAGGTGGTCTCTCGCCCTTAGCCCCAAGGGGTAGAGGTACAATTCCTAAAATCAGGCAGAGTGGTCAGCAACATTTCCTTATTCTTGTTTATAAAATTAAATTGAAATATGCCTGTGAAATCTGCTATTCGCTATTCTCGAATGCAATTACAAGAAACAACTTCTATATACATCATAAAGTACAAACAAGAATTAAAATAAGGCATTTTCTGGTTGTTATAACTCAAACTCCTAAATTCCGTCAGTTGAAAAATGATATAAACACATGGGATAGACAAAAGTAACAGGTCTGGTTACATTTCAATTTTGAGAAGAATTAGCACAGACTTACAAAGTTACTTTAAAGATATGCAGCAAGGGCTAGTATCTGAACTCAGGGTGAGACAGTTCAGCATGAAGAATCTGAAAACAAAAAACAAAACTCCTGCTTGGTTAAGTGTTAAATGTCCTGCAGCATTAATTTAGTCCCTTTAAGTTGGTAGGAAAAGTCTCTCTTAGGTGACCACTCCAGGGGTGTTGGTTGTAATTCCACACAGCTTGGAGAAATCTGGATCAGGAGTGTCTATGTGTGGAGATCTGTCACCCGTTGGGGAAGCCTTTTCTGTGATATGGCTTCACTCTCATTGCCTGCAGTTCTAAAGGTCATTCTGAAAAGCAAACAGCATACCCTCTTCTCCAAGTTAAGAGTTAAAGTGGCCAATAAAATTAAACTTGGGGGAAAGGCTCAAGACACTTTTAAAAGTATGTTGAGCCTGTTTTACAATTGCCAGACCAGTTGGATTGTAAGGTCTTTATTGGCAAATATCTTAGAACTCAAAATTCCTCACACCATAAGACGGGGCACTAGAAAACTGACTTCAATGCTACCAGCCCCACCCACTAGCTGAAATCTTACCTGTTGCTAGGAAACAGCTAGTGCAGCACTGCTGCTCTGGTCAGCGTTCTAACTCTCTTTGGTGGTAGCATAGCGGTGAAGTCTGCCCAGGTGTCCTGACACCGCTTCTTTACTCTCATCTCTGTGACTCTACTCCTCTTCTCCCCTCCGGGCCTATTGGAACCCGGAACCCTGGAACCCCTCGCGGCAGCGGGTCACCACCGGGGACACGCATTTGCCGGGGCCCGCCTGGGCACGACGCGGCACAGGGGGGTCCACAGTGCAGCGCGCGAAGTGGAGGGCACTCCCGAAGAAGACGGAGGCCTCGCGCCAGCCGGGAAACCTCCTCCCTTTCTAGGCCCGACAGCGCGACCAGCCGGTGCACCCTGAGGACAGTCAGCCCTGCCCCCAGCGGCACAGGGCCCCTGGCTCCGGCCCACCGACCCTGTCTCCGGGAAGGGGGAGCAGTTGCGCAAGGAGGGGTGGCCCGGCCCTTTGGCAATACCGATTGTCCAGGCTCTTGACCTGAGAAGATAGCTCCCCTCCCGGCCCGCTCCCCACCTGGGTGCCGATTGGGGGAAAGGGAAGGAGGTCGCGCAGCCCGCAGCCCCTGTTGGTGGGCGCGCTTTTCTAATCAAAGGAATTCTTTTCTGAGTTTTGGGTTTACTTATACAGCTGAGTGGGCTCCGAGCTCTGGTATGCGCTTACCCGCGGAGCCCCAAGATAGGGTGCAGACACACAAAGGACAGGGGCACATTCACTCACACTTTCACTCTCAGGCACTCTGAATTTAAACAATCCCTCTCACCTAATTCCCTGTGGCTGGGCTAGAAGCAGCCAAATTCTCCGGCTGTTTGGACTCAAACCAATCAGCCCCCAGTGGTCGGATTCAGTATGAATCTGACCCAGAGCCCTACCCGAGTGAGGGCCAGGCGGTTGGTCTCAGCATGAACCCAACCCAGATTTCTCATTCGAGGTGATTGTTACATCCCGTCCTTGCGAGCAAGAAGGTTGGAGACTGCTGGGTAGTCAGAGGTGTTTTATTGGCCAAAGTTTCAAAGTTTTACCTGCGCAGGGGTGAACTCTCGGGGTGCCTCCGGAGACACACGAGTGCCAAAATGGCTGCAAATGAGAGTCGCACCTGGTGCTTACAGCCTGGGGTTTTTATTGGGGTGAGCAAGCAAGCAAGCAAGCAAATACAGAAGCAGAGGTAGCTGTTAGCAATTGGCTATTTTGAGAGGACACACACACATCTCTGCTTATTACAATGGATACTTTTCTTCAAAGACAAGGCCATGTCTTGAGATAAAAATTTTCCCCTAACGGGTGTCCGTGAGATTACTTCAAGGCCTTGGCTAAACTCCCTGGAACATCTGCCCACGGCCAGGTGTGGTTTTCTACCTAAGTCTAAAAATAAACATCTAGTTTAAGCAAACATCTCGGCTCTTCTCCTCACCCCCTGTGATCAGCCTCTGTCCTGTCTCAGGTCAGGTCCCCGGGGCTCTTACCGATTTGGCGCCCCTGGTCTCAGGTCAGGTCGTAGTCCAAAACCTTCATTTCCTGTCTAGAGTGCAGGCTGGCAGTCATGGGTTCCAATGGGCCGGGGGCCTGAGAAATCTCAGGGCACGTGCAACCCCCGTTTCTCCGGTTGGAACTCCGGCCACTGCTCGCTTATCCAGTCAGAGGCAAGTTGCCCGAATTTGTGAAAGGTCGATTCCTGGCCAACGCACCAAATGTTGCAGGAAAATGAAGCAACCAGACACCAAGGGTTTCTGGAGTACGAGGTTTATTTAATGTGCACGGGCCCAGAGGAGTCAGTGTCCAAATTCTGAGCCCCAAACAAAGGATTCTTGGGGTTTTTATAGTTTACAGGGTCTTCTTGTCTACGTAGCAAAGTGGGATACAGAAGTGGAATGCGAAAGTTAGTTCTAGCTATGGGGCAGAAGCAGAGTACAAAGGCTAAATTCGAAGGTCAGTTTTTAATATCAGGGGTGTTAATCTCAGTCCTAGCTAATGCACTGTTGTTTACTTATCCTAGACAGCCCCATCATTCTCCCTAGGGCGCCTGGGGCCTGGGCAAATAAAGGTTAAACGGAGGTTTTTCAAAGTTTCCCATATCAGTAGAACAAGCCGACATTTTGCAGAAGTCACTGACTTTTCCTTTGGTTAATATTTGACCATCACGGTTTAGAAAGTGGACTGTTACTTTACCTTCCGAGCTACAATGCGCCTGTGCTGACATGCTCAGTTGGCCGGGTTGCCGGTATGCAGCTGCCCCACCAGGCTTGGTGCTCCCGCCCGGCCCCCAGGTTCCCGAAAGGTCGCTGGCTCCCATGCAGGTTCCAAGGAGGAACAGACACAAACAGACTGCACTGCCCAGGGCCACGGAGGAAGTGTGCAGAAGCAGAGCACCCACTACAGCGGCCATACCCCTAGGTCCTGTAATTGCTGGATGAGACGCAGGCCCGCCACACTTGAGTGCTATTTTTTCTTGTTTGAATAAATTTAAAAAAATATTTATTTATTTTCAGAGAGAGGGGAAGGGAAGGAGAGAGGGAGAGAAACATCAGTGTGTGGTTGCCTCTCATGTGTCCCCCACTGGGATCTGGCCTGCAACACCCCCACTGGGATGTACCCTGACTGGGAATCGAACCACGATCCTTTGCTTCACAGGCCCGCACTCAATCCACTGAGCTACACCAGCCAGGGCTGAATAAATTTGTATAATATTGGCATGATTGTTACTTGAAAGTTTGGTGGGACACAACTCTAAATCCATCTGGACTTTGTATTTTCTAGTTGGGAAGATTTTAACAACTGTTTTAACATTTTGTAGTTATAGACCTATTCAAGCTTTTAAATTCTACGAGATCATTGTTGATACATGATATCTACAGATTTAAATTTTAAATATAAAATTTAGTTTATTTCATCTCCAAAGCTCAAACTTAGTAGCATATATTTGTATTATTTTCATATCTTTTCAATAAGAAATGATTGGCATACACCACTGTAAAAGTTTGAGGCATACAGCATGATAGTTTGATTAACAATATATTGTGAAATGATGACCACAATAGGTTCAGCTTTGAAAGGCTGGAGGCGGGGAGCAATAGTAATAATGCAGAAGAGAAACAAATTGTACCAAGAAAGAAAATAGAAATTAAAACAAAAATATGAAGGGGGAGGAAGGAGGTAGTATGGAATAAGAGAAGGGAAGAGCAATATGAGGTTTGAAAAAACTATATTATAAAACCCGGTGCCATATTATGACCAAACTTGAAGGATATGAAATGAATGTTAAACAGTTTTCCAGGAGAGATGATACCATCTTATTGCACCTGTCTCTATTTGCTCTGCTCTGCTGGGCTTAGTAAATTGGGCAGAGGAGCTGTGTAGCATGTAATGTCTGGTGAAGAGCCCTATCAGCTTTTTTTCTTCTTTGTTCTGAGGAAATCTATGCAGCACAAAACTGCTGGGCCTGGTCTGGCCTTAAACCTGTAACCCCACAGCAGGGCACTTGGGTTTGCCTGTCTGGGAAAGGCAAATCTCAGGCATTCAGCTCCTGCTTTCCAGACATGAGGAGCCTGTTGCTGTCTCACAGGAGTTTCAACCTGAAATCTCCCCTGTGCTGCCCTCTCCTTGCAGGTCTGCCAGGTTGGGTCCCTTCAATGTATTTTCCGCTTCTGAGTTTTTGGTTAGCAAAACTGCTGTTCTATTTCCATTTTAGAAGTACGGTCCTTAAAGAAATGCAGATTCCCAGTTGCAGTCCATCTCCAGGCACCTCACAAGTCTGTGTGTACCTGCCTGAGTCTTTCTTGTGCTGCCAGTTTCTCTCTTCCAGAGGTGTTTTTCTCTGGCCATCCATTCACCAGCATCTGTGTCCTTGGCCAGGCAGAACCTTCTGCAATCCCTTCCCGTCTTGTGCACAGCACTGTCAGTTCTGCTGCCACCTTTTGTGCAAGAGGGGCCCCAGGGGGAACATTCCCAGATGGCACCGCCTCCTGAGGACCTGCTGGTCTCAGGAACTCAGGCTCTGTGTCTGACCAGGCTAGCTGAGAAGGGGAAAAAGCCTTTTGTCTCTTGACACCCTGCATTTTAAAGACTTGACCCAGCAATCCCTGTGCGAGGGAGTCAGGCTTTGTTCAAGGTGCATCAGTGTCTGCTATTCAGTTCTCCACTGTCTTTGACCCTTCTCCCTCCAACATTTTGAAAGGGGGTGAAGTTTCCAGGTCTGTACCAGCATAGTGTCTATTTACTTGGGAAGGGGTGTCCAGCCCCCAGAGCTCACACAGGCTGCTATATGAGTAGCTCAGCTGCCCGCACCTTTGCTCACTCCCAGGGCCTTTGTTTAGTTTGGCTCCAGGGTGTAAGAAGGCTGTCAAGCGGGTCCTGATTTCAACTCAGGGGGCCTCTGGCACTTGCAACCAGTGTTCTTCCAATTCCCTTCTTAGGGGTGAGAGGCTGGCTCTGTCAGATTGGGGTAGCCCTGGACTGAGGTCTTTCCAGCCTCCCAGTGATTTCTGGCCAGACCCTATTACAGTTGGGCCTACCTGTACTTGTATTGTGGTAGGGCAAAAGATCCTAGAGAGAGGCAGGGGTAGAGAGGATTGAAGCAATTATATTTCCTCACCACATTCAGTGTTCTAGTCACACAAAACTAATTTTAAGTAGTAATTTGAAGGTTACAACTTGATATATTTCCCATGAAGTCTACGTTTTGAATGCAGGTAGAAAAAATGTTCTTTACACATAAATAACCAAATGATTAACACTCGTGGGTGAAAATCTGCTCAAAGATACCTGCTCAAAGTATCAGGTTGGTTTCCTTGTTGTGTATTTATTTTAAAGCAATAGCAGATATTCAGATACCAAATCAATATAGAATAGCTTCCTTATACAGTATGAGTACCTTTTTGTGTGCTGTGCCAGTCACCCAATACCAAAATTGTGTCTTTATGGAAAACATCACACTACTCAATATTACTATATATTTCCAGCTATGTAATCGACTAATGATTGTGTTTAAAAGGACACAAGGCACTGTGGGCCTTTAGCAAGCCTTAGCTTTGCTAGTATGTAATTTGGTTACACTTCTGACAAAGCTTCTTTAAAAGAATGTAATTTTCAAAGTTACGCTGTTATCTTATACTTACACTGTTTGGAATGTAAAGCTCATTGTATACCAGAGATGCCTTGCATCACAGACAGGCTGAAACCTGAGGTGCCCAAAGAAAAGCTAAGCAATGCTTGCAGTAGAAGTTGTGGAAGCCACTTGTCAGATATGGCAGGCACCATGATCCTAAAGGTCCATCTCTGTTCTCTCAAACACCTGATACTCTAGGTCCCAAATGTCTAAAGATGTTAGTAA